TCTAATGTATTTGAAGAAAGTTTTATTGTTGGTTTTTACGTTTTTTGCTATATGCTCCTCATATTCCCTTTTTGCCTGCCTGACCACAGACTTGCATTTTATTTGCCATAGCCTGTGTTCCATTTTATCAGCCTCACTGTGACTAGCTTTCCACCGCTTAAAGGAATCCTTTTTACCTTTTACAGCTTCCATTACTTTGTTTGTTAACCATGCAGGCTTTTTCCTATACCTGTTTGTGCCTTTCCTAACCTGCGGAATATTTTTTTTGAGCTTCTAGAATTGTAGCTTTAAATAGTTTTCAAGCTTCCCCAATGGTTTTGACCCTTTCTACTTTTCCCTTCAGTTTCCTCCCCACATGTCCCTCATATCAGAAAAATTACCCCTTTTAAAGTTAAAAGTGGTTGTGTGAGTCTTTTTGGCCAGTTCCCTATTTGTACAAATGTTGAACTCAACAACATTATGATCACTGTTCCCAAGCGTTGCAATCACTTTTACATCTCTCACCAGCTCTTGAGTGTAACTTAGGACCAAATCAAGGATCGCCTCTCCCCTGGTAGGTTCCGTGACCATCTGCTCCATAGCACAGTCATTTAGAGTGTCTAGAAACTCAATCTCTTTCTCTCGACTAGAACACATATTGACCTAATCAATGTGTGGGTAGTTAAAATCACCTATTATGACACAGCGTTTTTGTCTTGCTGCTATCTTTAATTCATTCATCATTTTATAATCCTTCATCTGGCCCTTTGGTCAACCGGACCTTCAAGACCGCCTCCGGCTGTTTTCCTTCTGTCTAGAATCACTTCTGGTTTCTGGCGAAGAACAAAATGTAAAAGCAAACATGCTCATATATATCTATATGCAAGCTATGGCATTTAGCCTGATTAATTGCTTTGAACAGTTTCAAACTCTCTTCCTCAGCCATGCATATTTATAACATATAGGCTCAAGATCCTACAAGCTAGGCTTCAACAGTACGTGGATAGAGAACTGCCAGAAGTACAAGTGTTAGTTTCATAATAGGCATTAATCAATTGATTTCAAGCAGTATATTTCTAATGCAATATAAAGCAAACATTTAAGATTTTCCTTTATCAGAAGTCCTTATTTGTTTCATTTCTTACATGCACTTTTTTTTAAATCATAAATTTTATTATTTTTTTAAATTGAAAAAGAAAGTTTACAACTTCAATACAAAAGTCGTTTACAAAATAGAATAGATTTTAGGGAACATGTATAATAATTAAAGCATCCAACAACATTCCTCAATATAATAACATTGTCCAATAGTATAAACAAAATTGGTCACAAAAGAGTTGTAATAGTATCAAGTTTACATTTCGGTACATTAATTTTTTCCAAGCTTCTTATAAAAAAGCATTTAAATTAAGTTTGTTCATTTGAACTATCAGGTATATAACATTAACTTATACTTAACATTTCTAATTGTTTCCCAGTCAAATTTGTCAAAATTAACTTTATCTAATATAGGGTACCAAATGTTGAGGGGATTCATAAGATCACATTCCGTTTGATTTTCTGTATTAAAAATATTAAAATTTTTCAACATAAATAGATCCCATACTTTATGCATCCATTGTTGAATATTTGGAGAGTTAATATCCTTCCATTGTTTTGGCTGCGGTAAGAACAATGTTTACTAAATTTTTAGTCGAATTAGGAGGAGAATCTTTTGGCCATAAATTAAGTAACGTCAATGCAGGGTCAAGAGGTATATTCCATCCTGTTAATAAACTAATTTGTTGCATGACTAGTGCCCAAAATCTATTGATATACCTGCTTGTCCACCAACAATGGATATAAGTAGCCTTCTCCCCACTGTTTTTCCAACATAAAGGTTTAAAATTAGGGATCATATGTGTTAATTTAGCAGGTGTTGTATACCAGCGCAGAAGAACTTTCATGTTTGCCTCGTATATATAGAGTGATTGTGATATTTTAGTCTGCGTTCTCCAAATCTGTTCCCACTGTTGGTATGTTAGTTGCATTTGAAGATCAGTTGTCCATGCTTGCTAGTAACTCAGTTTGCTATACTGTTGAAAATTCTGTATTTCTTACATGCACATGAAGTTATAAAGTTAACATGTAATCAAGCAATGACACCATTCATTGGTGGTTGATAGATTCATTAAAAAAACGTAGAGATTAAGGGAATTCCTAGAGCACTCTTCAAGACCATTTCTCAGCCTCACCCCCCAAACACTCCCATTCCCAAAAGATTGATGGCTGGTGGCAGCTCTTAGAAAGCCCCATTAAATAAAATGGGACTTACTTCCAAGGAGACCACTTAAAGATTGTTCCGATTATCACCAATTCATCCTCCCACCCAGAGCTCTTCACAAGTCACTTTGTTTTTCACCATTTCAAATAATTTGGTATCATTAGCAAACTTGGCCAGGTTTGTCAAGTCTTTGGTGAGTCGTCACACATGGTGCTGAGCTATATATGGCTTGACAAGTCAAATGTTATACAGGCCTAGGTTAACTAATCCAAATTATATGATCCTATGAAGGCATCTGAGGTGACTGGGGGTGTTTTTTTTAGGATTAGTACTGTTTATTTATGTATTTATTTAGGAAACACATAAGCCAACTCTACAAATTTGCTCATCGGGTCACAAAGTTAAATAATAGTCAAATAAAAAAACAGCAGCACAAAAAGATCAATAACAAGCCATTAAAACAGCATGAAGCAATGGCCTAAAATGCAATATATAAGACAGACCTTGGACCAGAAGCAGATGTTTTATGGATGAATTGAATTTTATTGTTACGGCGCTTAGCCAGCAATATGGATACTGGTGCTCAGTGGTTATGCTGTTTTTATGCCCCGCCAACAATCCCTCTAAGCTGTGGAGTCTTGTGAGCAAAAATTCTACTTTGTGAGCTATTGCATTAAAGTTGTGAGTGAGCGACTTGGCTACTGCATAAATTACTGTGCTCTGGAGGCATCCTTCCTGAGCGAAGACAATAATGTGTGAGCCGGAGGCTAAAAAACTGTGAGCTGGCTCACACTAACTCAGCTTAGAGGGAACACTGGCCCCGACTTGTTCTTAATTGCTTGTTTTGTTTTTATATCTATAATTTATGTTTTAATTATTTTATGGTATTATTTTTACTTGTGAGCTTTTAATCCTCATTGGGAAGAAGGGGGGTATAAATGAAGCAAACAAATAATGCACCTGGAGCGGAACTTTGGAGAGGTGGCATAAAAATCCCTAAATAAATAATACAGACACCCTACAGGATGTAGACAAAGCAGTTTTCATATCATGGGCTGAACAATGTATTTTCTCCCCCATTTTTAACATTCAGCCTGATTAAGAGTCCTGAAGAAATCAAAAGCTGTGCCATTAATAAAAGGTATTAATGTGGCTTGTGGTTTTAGTTTGTTTCGTTTTTTACAAGGACTTCACAGTTCCTGTCTGTATAATATAATCAGAATACACAATAAAGTCCAAAAAGCTTTATGTAAATTAAAAGACATAGAACAGATAGAGTTGCCAGCTCCTGGTGGGAAATACTTGGAGATTTGGGGGGGTGGAGCCTGAAACGGGTGGGGTTTGAAGAGAGGAGAGGAGGGCCTTCAGTGGGGTACAATGCCATAGAGTCCACCCTCCAAAGCAGCCATTTTCTCCACGTGAACTGATCTCTGTCGCCTGGAGATCAGCTGTAAATCTCCAGCTGCCACCTGGAGGTTGGCAAACCCAAGAACAGATAGCACTGTTTTGATAACTGGGACATCTTGTTTCAACATGTTTCTACGGATTGTTCTCTTTGAAAAGCGTTTCCCCCCCCGAAGTATGTATTAGTTCCCTCAGATACATCCAGGATAGGGATGCCAGCCTCCAGGTGGGGCCTGGAGACCTCCCACTTTTACAACTGATCTCCAGGTGACAGAGATCACCTCCCCTGGTGTTGTGTACCCAGGGAAGTCCGGCCTGAGCTTCCTCTCCAAAGACAATAGCTAGAACAGATTCTAGTGCACACCTATGGGGAGGCTAGGATTCTAGAAGGGGCCTATGGGTCTAGGGGTGCACTGTAAATACTCTATCAGGGGTGTATGTGTGGGTGTGGTGTGATTTGGGACTATAAGTCAGCCCAGGAGGCAGCTAAAGCATCTCAAGATCTTAATGTAACTAAATAAAGTATGAGCTGTAATCACTCTGCAAGGCATCAGCCTCAGTACTTTATACCTGGGGAAAATGGCCGCTTTGGAAGGTGCACTCTATGGCATTGTACCATGCTGGGGCCCCTCCCTCCCCAAACCCCACCCTCTCCCAGATCCACCCCCAAAGTCTCCAGGTATTTTCCAACCCAGAGTTGGCAACCCTAGACTCCAGAGAAAATTTTGCTGACCTTTACGGTACAAGTGGACTACTAGAATTTTGGTTTGGGGAAGTAACACAAGAGTGATTTTGTTTTACTATGCGGTTAAGAAGGAGCGTGACATGCCAAGCAATATAAGAGAGAACTTTTTTTAACAGTTTACTTTAAAAGGCGTTTCATATACCAGGCGCCTTGGCTCCTTCCACTTTTTTTTCGTTTTCCCAGCACGTTCAGAAAAACTTTCGCGGTTGTTGCAAAATAACCCCACGCAGTTGTGCCCCACTATACCTTTGGACTTCATTTCCCAATGAGCCCTACAAACGAACTTTTCAAAGCCGAGCTGGATGTATAGAGAGTGGTGATTGGCCAAAAGAATCTGACTTGGTTTATCAAGCCCCTTACGATTGGACAACTTCAACAGCGGCAGGTCATCCTTTTGTTTGATTTTCGGATTTTCCGTTGAAACCCTGCCGGGCAGGAGCGCGAAGGAGACTGGGAGGGCGGCTGGTGAGGAGAAACTGGCAAGCGCCGCAAACTGCTTGCTACGAGTGGGATAGAGGCGGCTCTCTACCGAGGGAAAGGAAGGAAGTCCTTCCTTAACGCTTTTGCAATTTGAATTGCAAAACGATATGGTTGGAGTGGCATGGCAGGTGCTCAAGTGTCTAATTTTGCACCAGCTGCCCCACGGATTTTGATGGCATAGGGGGCTGATCGTGGGCCTGGTGGTTAGCAACACTGCGTGCCACTTTTTCTATTTTTGCTTGTACTGGCTCCCCACCGCTGGTCCCACGTAATAGCCCGTTTGCGCAGTGGAGTGTGAGAACCTGGTAGGTACACGAGACAAGTCATCAGTTGTAAAGGTTAGAGTAATTAGTATGTGGTGTTTTTTTTAAGTGGCTCACATGCTGCTCTAAGCAGTAAGTGAAAAGCTCACTGGGTCCTTGAAAATATGTATAAATAGAGCATATTTGCTCAGCGTAAAGGCCAAGAATGGAGCTGCGGTGGCTCAAGTGGTTAAGATGCTGAACTGCAGGCTGTGGAAGGTCAGTAGTTCAGCAGTTCAAGACCCGGGTGCCGCAAGACGGGGTGAGCTCCTGTCTCTAGTTCCAGCTCCTGCCAGCCTAGCAGTTCGAAAGCAAGAAATTGCAAGTAGATAAATAGGTACTACTTCGGTGGGAAGGTAACAGCGTTCCGTACGCCTTGGTGTTTAGTCATGCCGGCCACATGACCACGGAAACGTCTTTGGACAGCGCTGGGTCTTCGGCTTTGAAACGGAGATGAGCACCGCAACCCTAGAGTCGGATTCGACTGGCTTTCGAGCAAGGGAACCTTTACCTTTACCTTTAAAGGCCAAGAAGTCACATATGCATAGTTCTGTGTTTGTAGATGTCTAGGTAGGAGAGAGTGCTGTTCCTAGTTCTGCAGAAGCTGGATGGAGAATGAGCTGCCCAGCAAATTCTAGTGTGAACAAGAATGCAAGTTAAGAATTAGACCTGAGAAGCCTTTTTTTAAAAAAAGTAGATTTTAGACAGTCCCCACTTAAATCCGTTAACAGTACTGGTCTAAGTGAACTCTTGATCTGGTTCAGGATAGGGAAGCTCCTAAGATATTCGGCTGCTAGGAACAGGTTGCAGAATAAAATATAATGTGGGTGGGATGTTTTCTAGGACTCTGATCTTTCAAGTAGAGAAGAAGGTGGTGGAAAGTGGCTTCCCAAAACTCGTGATCTATGCCAAGATGGAGGGTGTAGCTGCAGCAGAAGAGCACAAAAGAGTTTGCTTTGGAAAGTGTATTAGAACAAAGGTGGAGTCCAGTGGCACCTTTAAGACCAGCAGAGTTCTATTCAAGGCATAAGCTTCCGTGTGCCTGCACACTTCATCAGATACAGGCATCCTTTGGAAACAAAAGTAAAATTATCTGACAAAGGGAGCTTTGAGTCTAAAAAGCTTATACCCCAAGATCTTGTTGGTCTCTAAGGTGCTACTGGACTCAAATCTAAAAGTAAAATTAGTTTCTAGAGAATCGTTAACGCATTTGTTTTGCTGGGTACTTGGCTATATGCTTCTGTTACTAAAAAGAATCCCCCCCCAACTGTTGCAGATGGCAGAGTGACTACCATGGCTTCTTCTCCAAGAACACCCCCTGCTTCCAAAAGGTAAGTCAGAAAGCAGCCAGGCAGCCACCTTCATATGGCTCTATTGGTTCCTTCTTAATTGCACTTCTGGGTTGGTATGTGTGTCCTAGGCCAGGTAGATTATATTCCTTGAAATCTGTATTCTTTGTTGCTAGTTGGGAAAGCTACCTGCCCCCACCTCATATCATTGCTTCTGCTGGTGCAAGAATCTTTTCCTTAGCATCTCTTCTCAACCGCTTTGCTTTATATAGATCCCTGCTGCTTTTTCTTCAGTACCATCTTTCCCTTGGAGAAAGATTACTGCCTTGTTCTATGTGTGCAGTGGAACAATCAAGATATATACCCTGTTTTCCCGAAAATAAGACCTACCCCAAAAATAAGCCCTAGCAGGATTTCTATGCATTTGTGGTATAAACCCTAGTGTGTCTTCTTGAGAAAAAATAAATATAAGACAGTGTCTTATTTTCGGGGAAACACGGTAGACGGAGAAGAGGAGATTGGATTTATACCCCGCCCTTCACTTGGAGTCTCAGAGTTGCTTAAAAACTCCTTCCCCTCCCCACAACAGACACCCCGTGAGGTGGGTGGGGCTGAGAGAACTCTGACACAAACTGCTCTTTGTCAAGGACAGCTATGCCAGAGCTTGTGACTGACCCAAGGTCACATCAGAAGGTGCAAGTGAAGGAGTGGAGAATCAAACCCGGTTCTCCCAGATTAGAGTCCGCGCACTTAACCACGACACCAAACAGGAACATGTTATACCAGCATCTGTACCAGTTTTCCCAGGCACAATTCAAAGTGGTAGTTGTATCCTGCAAAGCCCAAAGTGGCTTGCAGTGCAATCCTAAACAGAATCGCTTCCTTCTAGTCCATTGACCAATGCTGACCTGAAGCCAGCAGGTTTTTAAATGCTCTGTCTGTGAGCACCTTGAACGGAATAAGTTAATTGGTAGTAACCAGCATGGGTTTATCGAGAATAAGTCATGCCAGACCAACCTTATCTCCTTTTTTGACAGAGTTACCAAAATGGTTGACTCTGGCAGTGCTGTGTATATAGTGTATCTAGATTTTAGTAAAGCATTCGACAATGTTTTTCATGATATCCTTGAGGATAAGCTGGTTAAGTGTGGGCTGGGTGGTGCAACCGTTGGATGGATTCATGGTTGGTTGAAAAATCGTACCCAATGAGTGCTCGTAAATGGCTCTGCGTCTACGTGGAGGGAAGTCTCGAGTGGAGTGCCGCAGGGCTCGGTCCTAGGCCCGGTGTTGTTCAATGTTTTTTCCCTCCCATTCCTGGACTGGTCTGGGGAGGAGAGAATCTACGCAACATGAAGTTAGGTGGGATTGCTAATTCTGAAGAAGACAGAGTCAGGATTCAAAATGATCTAGATAGGCTGGAACAGTGAGCTGAGACAAATAAAATGAATTTCAATAGAGATAAATGCAAAGTCCTACACTTAGGTACAAAAAATCAAAGGCATAGATATAGAATGGGAGGGACTTGGCTTGACAGCAGCACATGTGAAAGGGATCTAGGCAGTGTTCCCTCTAAGTTGAGTTAGTGTGAGCTAGCTCACAGTTTTTTTAGCCTCTGGCTCACATATTTTCATCTTAGCTCAGGAAGGATGGCTCCAGAGCAAACTAATTTATGCAGTAGTCAAATAGCTTGCTCACAACCTTAATGCAAGTAGCTCACAAAGTAGAATTTTTGCTTACAAGACTCCACAGCTTAGAGGGAGCATTGGATCTAGGTGTTCTGGTTGATCACAAGCTAAACATGAGCCTGCAGTG